CCCCCCCCCCGACCCAGGGACCTAGGTCCACTTGGGCTCTGGGAGGGCCTGTAGGCTTGATTTCCCTGGCCGGCTGCCCTTCTACGGGGTTGCCCCACCGACGCCTACACCTTACTTCCCCGGGTGTTGGGACACTGTCCTGCCTTGCCCCAGATTGCAGTTACACTAGAGCGAGAAAAAATGAGGCTTTTTTCTCTTGCGTAACCAGCCCCTTGGAGGGAGAGCGCCTCAACTGGGTCCCTGAGGACGCGTCAGGTTCAGGGCGCCCCGTGAGCAGGTGGAAGGCCTCGGATGCCAAACAGCTGTGCAGTTGCGGGGCTGCAATTTGAGAATTCTCGAGAGGGCAGAATCTGAAGGTGCTGCTGCCTTGGCCCTGAATCAAGCTGGTGACTGACAACTGTTAACCTTAGGAAATAAAAAATGAGTTATTTCACCAGCAAAACTGGGCTTATCCGGGGATACCAGACAGTTACAATCCACAACAAGCAAGCTTCAGCAAGGCTATAGGCAAGCGCGGAGACCAAGGAGACTGTCATCAAGGAGCAACAGGGCTGTCGTAAGCAAAGTTCATTGGCATACAGTGGGAGGTCTAAGTATACTGGATTTTCATTGGCTGGGCTGTGAGAGCCTCTCATTGGCGGAGCCGTTGCCAAGGGAGGAGGAAACCTTCCCCGTCGGGTTGGTGAAGAGCACCCACCTGCGAGGTCCCAGCTTGGGCTGCGATGCTGAGAACTCCCTCTGCTGGCCTCCCGACTAAACGAGGTTTCCGTTTACTAATTTTTCACACGCAGGCTCTGGCCTCAGGCCACGAGGGATTCAAATCCTTGCTCTCGGCGCTGACTGCAGCTTTGGGTGATAAAACTCGCGAAAGTCTAATGTCCTCTTCTTTAAGATGCGAGGAATGGCTGTTTGTCAAGTGTGTACATTTTCATCAAGAATTGGTACTCAACAGAGGTTTCTAACACTGTGAACATAATTATTGTCATTTTGAGTTCTAGCCCCTGGCTCTCTGGAGCCGCCTCAGGTCCTTTCCCCTCCTGTGACTCTTCCCTCTCTGAGCCTAGGCAGCCCCTGCTCCCTGCTAGCTCCCCAGCCCCTGGCTGACCTTGACTTCATCACCTGAGTCAGGAGGCTGTGGACAAGTAACTGACATGGCGGGTCCTCGGCTCAGGTCAGAGATTTCCATCTTAACCTCAGCATCTTTGTGCACAGAGATTTGGAGGCTTTAGATCCTGTACTGCTGAAGAGGGAGAGCATGGGGCAGGGAAGGGATGTGGACGGACCGTGGGAGGCCAGTCACGCTCTCAGAGGCATCCAGCAGACCTCCCAGAATGTGCCAGTTAAAGATGGAGTCCAAAGGGGCGCCTGGGTGGCTCAGGCGGTAAGCGTCCAACTTTGGCTCAGGTCATGATCTTGTGGTTTGTGGGTTCGAGCCTCACGTCGGGCTCGGTGCTGACAGCTCTGAGTCTGGAGCCTGCTTGGGATTCTTTGTCCCTCTCAAAAATAAGTAAATGTTTAAAAAAAAAAAAAAAAGCCCAGGGTGTGGGGAAAGGAGGGGCCTCCTTTCCACCTAGGATGTTGTGACCCTGCTGCACCTGGGCATATTGTCCTCTCAGCCCTGTTGCCACGTACACACCTGCCTTGTTGGCTTTGCCCCTGCTGGTGTCACAGCTCAGGATGCCTACCGGGAGTCCCCGAGTGGGCCCACACTCCCTCCCTCCGAGGCTCACGCCTGTCTCCACCCACCCTCGGGCAGACCACCTGGGTCAAATATCAGCTCAACTGTGATCTCTGGCACGGCGCTGAGCCTCCACCCGTTGTCACATCCGCGAAGGGGACGGACACACAGCTGGATTCCATAAGGCATTGGGGAGCATTAATGAGCCAACGCACACGGCACAGAGCAAGGGTTTGGGTAATGACTAGTGTCCGATTCCGGCGGTCTCTGCTGTCAGAGGTCACCCGGCCTAGGGGAGGTGGCGAGTAGGGCAGGGGCCTTGCCCGCCATGAGCCCTTCCCCTCTGGGTGTCTCTGTGAACCCCACGGTGCCGCAGACCTGGTGGGTCGGTTGTAGGGGGTGGACCGTAGGCCTTGCAAGGATGTCTCCTGCCGTGGGAGTGGGCTCAGGAGGGGCTTGAGGGGGAGTGGGGGCTGACCTCCAGCCCCCGCTCTGCGGCCTCACTGGGGCCATGACGGACGGCACCAGAACCTCAAGATGGTGGGTGAGCTGGCCGGCCCACTGCTCTTGGTTCTCTGCACAGGAAGGCTGTCTGGGCCCTTTCGGCCCCCTCACCTCAACCACCCAACGCTCAAGACAGGGACCCTTCTCTGGCCTCCAGACTAAGCTGGCGGGGTCTCGACCTAGTGGGCCTTCCCCTCCTTTTTGTGTTAAACGTTGATTAGTAATTGTCATCACCGGTAGTTACGAAGCGTGCCTCCCATTTGTAGAGTGTTTCACGACTACTGTCCTGGCCACAAGGCAAGACGCACAACCGGGTGTGGGGCCTGAGTCAGTTGCCCAGCTGCAACCTAGCTTCACCGCTTACCGGCTACGGGCTCGCGCTGCTTAACCTCTCTGGGCCTGTCTCCCCACGCGTGAACTTGAAAACGAGGGCACCTCCCGGGTGTCCCTAGAGCGAGCGAGAGCGCGCTCGTGCAAAGCACAGCATGCAGGCTCAGTGGGCAGAAGGGCGGGGGCCTCAGCCGTCCTCTTAGCCCTCCCAGCAGCCCGACATGGTGGGTGGTAGCAATTCAGAGGACAGGGGAAACCGAGGCCAAGTCGGAACTCTTGGGGGAGGCTGGGCCGTCTGCTTGCAGCATCCCCAACTAGAGTCGGCGGACAGCCAGGAAGCGCCTGCCTTAGACAGGAGCGCAGCGTCCCCCATGCTTGAGACTTCCCAGGACCACCCTTGCCGCCCCGGGTGCTCCCCTCTGGGCTGCACAGCCTCCCAGCCTGTCACCTGGTAGGTCAGGCAGCTGTGGCTGATGCAGGGCCAGGTTACCCCCACGCCCCCACTGACCTTGCAGACAGATGGGATGCTCCAGCACAGGGCCCAGTGCCCCTGAGTTGGCTGCGCCGAGACCTGCCGCCTGCCCAGCCTCATGGAGCTGGTGCGGCCGGAAGGGACCGGAAGGGGCCGGAGCCCGTGCTAGGGGGCAGCACGTGGAGAGGCAATTGTGACCCCGCCCCTGCCATTCCAGCTGCCTCCACGATCAGACCACCTGGGTTGGAATCCCACTCTGCCATCTACCAGCCACGTGCCTTTGGGCCTTAGCTTTCTCATCTGGCAAATGGGTGTCAGGTGAGGATCCCATGAGACGGTGCAGCAAAGCTCTCTGCATGGCATCTCGTAAGGGCTTGATGAGGAGTAGCTGACCTCTTCTCGTTCCCTGACCTTCCCTTCCACGCCCAGATCCTGTTTCTCTGGCTTCCGGACTCCCACATTTAGCTCGAGTCACAGCAAGTCCCAGGCTGAAGCAGACTGGCTCCCGGCCCCTAGCTTGTTCCCACCTCAGTGTCTTGGGAGGCGTCCTGGGGAAGGCCCCTTAGCTGGCTCCAGGCGGAGGGAGCCACCGAGGATGGCCGGCATCACCCAGCAGCGGTCACCAGGGTCCCCTTGCTGACATGTCCACAGACAAGCCCCATTCCGGACGCCCTGCTCCCCGATAACCACCCTCCAAGGGTGGTGAAGCTCTACCCCAGGTGGAGGGCCTGCCCCGCCATGGCTCAGGCCTGCTCCGCCAGGCTGCACCTTTGATGATGGTCTCCCCCATCCCATTCCTCCACTGGCCCTCGTAGCTCCAACGATTAGGCTTTGGGGTTTCCAGGGTTTGTTCCATTTCTTGTTCCTTCTGCAGTTCTAGAAACTGAGCTGTATCTATTGGGATGGATGGTCTTTGGCCTGGGAATGAGGAGATGGCAGGGAGGGGACTGGACCCAGGTCCCAGGCACACAAGGGTGGGCAGGGAGCCGCAAAGGGCCAGATGCAGGTGGGGGGGGGGGTCCTGGGTCTGTGGGCCCCTGCCACGGGGAGGACACAGCCCCAGACCCTCCCCGCAAGTATGGTTATAACAACGGAACCAATCAGGCACAGCAGGAGTTCTGGCCAGGCCTGCCTGGGGGATCCCGGCCCAGAGGGCATGATGCCAGGTGCCGAGGCCCCTGAGCCTTTCAGAGCACATGGCGCGCCCACCCAGACCCCAATGCAACAGGGCACGATCTGTATGTTTTCTGTTGCTGCGTAGTCAAAGACCAGCAACATGGCGGCCTGAACCAACACAAATTTATTAAGTCATAACTCTGCAGGCCAGAGGTCTGGGTGGGCTCCGCTGGGTTCAAGGGCCTGGTCTGGTGGGTACGCTGATGCGGGGTGGGCGGGGCGGGGCGGGGGGGGGGGCGCT